TTTTGCATTAATAAATTCATCCGCAAAATTTCTAGCTGTGACACAGGATAAATTAACATATTCCGCGTTACAAGACTTAAGTGAGTGCAAAGTGATAAATAATAATTACTATTTGTGTAAACTAGGAAATATACAATATAGTGTCGGAAATCCTATTTGTGAAGTGAGTATTTTAACTGAACATGTGAAAGGAATACCAGAATCTTGTAATTATAAGATTATATTAAGTGAAATATATTTATGGCAAAGACTTAGTAATAATACATGGATATATTTCCAATCAGATACATCTAAGATATCTATAACTTGTGATGGTAAAATGAATGACTATAATATTGTTGGGACAGGTATTTTAGACTTACCTAAATATTGTAAAGCTTATCATAAGCTACTACAGTTTGTTCCGTCTCAAGAATTCGAAATTAAATTCCATGTTCCTAATCCAAATTTTAATATTATAGAAGACGATTGTTGTTCTAAAGCTACTGTAAATCAAAAATTACCATATTTAACTCCTATTAAACTATCTCATGTGAATCTTGATTCGTTACAATATGCTTCAAATAAATTAAATCAAAACGAAGCAGAACTAACTAAAATCGAAAACCAACCTTACCATATTAAGTACAGCTATTATTTTAGTATAATTACTACCCTATTATCTGTCTCTGTATTTGGATATTTTTCTTATAAATTGTATAAATGTCTCTGTTTTAATAATCGAAGAAACAGTACATCCTGTTGTATTAAAATTGTCAATTCCTGTATGACTAAACCTCATACAAATATTCGTGCAAGGTCTAATATTGAAATGGCCATTACAAATTATGATACAGAAAGTACTGATTCTAATATAAGTACACCAAGGCGAAACCTTGAGTTATTGTAAAACTTAAATGTACAATATAATTATCACTTTTTCATTGTATTAGTATTATATTTCATTAGTCTTAAGTTAAATGTTCTCTCCTCAAATTTATATTTCTTAATTTGTATATCGTTACTTGGATTATACTCACATACTTCTTCTCTATTCCGTATGTTCCGTTTTAAAGGGGGGAGATGTTACATCCCTATTTACACCGTCACATCACTATTTGTTAAAGTAAAATGCTGACTTGCAATTATTGCTGGTTTATTCAAATACAATATTAAAAATCAGCAATAATTTTGCTATAAATACGCAAGACTTTCCTAAATTCGTCCAGTTGGTTATTCTTCAGCTAAACTGCTCCCCAGCTACGGACCTGGTTCTTGCCTGCCGGCTGGCTATCAGTGAAAGCTAAGAATACACTCCGGGTCTACTCTGCCCTTCGCCAGGGCTATCGCGCTGTTATAATCCAAGTCGCGTATAAGTTTTATGTAATAGTAGAAATTCTGTGTCCGAACTTGTGTATGAGTAAAACTTTTAATTAATAAATAGTTGTCGAAATTTCAGTACTGTTTTTTTTTATAGGTGCTGGATAGGACAATCTAACAGTACGAGTCCGAACTGTCACGTGCAAGGCGCTAACACATATCACTTTCCGACTTAGCAAGTGTCGTTGTGTGCGTGCTGTGGCTCGTGCGTACGAGTCCGAACTGTCACGTGCCAGGCACTAACACGTATCACTTTCCGACTTAACAAGTGCCGTTGTGTGCGTGCTGTGGCTCGTGCGTACGAGTCCGAACTGTCACGTGCCAGGCACTAACACATATCACTTTCCGACTTAACAAGTGTCGTTGTGTGCGTGCTGTGGCTCGTGCGTACGAGTCCGAACTGTCACGTGCCAGGCACTAACACATATCACTTTCCGACTTAACAAGTGTCGTTGTGTGCGTACTGTGGCTCGTGTGTACGAGTCCGAACTGTCACGTGCCAGGCACTAACACATATCACTTTCCGACTTAACAAGTGTCGTTGTGTGCGTGCTGTGGCTCGTGCGTACGAGTCCGAACTGTCACGTGCCAGGCACTAACACATATCACTTTCCGACTTAGCAAGTGTCGTTGTGTGCGTGCTGTGGCTCGTGCGTACGAGTCCGAACTGTCACGTACCGTCACTAACACATATCACTTTCCGACTTAGCAAGTGTCGTTGTGTGCGTGCTGTGGCTCGTGCGTACGAGTCCGAACTGTCACGTGCCGTCACTAACACATATCACTTTCCGACTTAGCAAGTGTCGTTGTGTGCGTGCTGTGGCTCGTGCGTACGAGTCCGAACTGTCACGTGCCGTCACTAACACATATCACTTTCCGACTTAGCAAGTGTCGTTCTGTGCTTGCTGTGACTCGTGCGTACGAGTCCGAACTGTCACGTGCCAGGCGCTAACACATATCACTTTCCGACTTAGCAAGTGTCGTTGTGTGCGTGCTGTGGCTCGTGCGTACGAGTCCGAACTGTCACGTGCCAGGCACTAACACGTATCACTTTCCGACTTAACAAGTGTCGTTGTGTGCGTGCTGTGGCTCGTGCGTACGAGTCCGAACTGTCACGTGCCAGGCACTAACACATATCACTTTCCGACTTAACAAGTGTCGTTGTGTGCGTGCTGTGGCTCGTGCGTACGAGTCCGAACTGTCACGTGCAAGGCGCTAACACATATCACTTTCCGACTTAACAAGTGTCGTTGTGTGCGTGCTGTGGCTCATGCGTACGAGTCCGAACTGTCACGTGCCAGGCACTAACACATATCACTTTCCGACTTAACAAGTGTCGTTGTGTGCGTGCTATGGCTCGTGCGTATGAGTCCGAACTGTCACGTGCCGTCACTAACACATATCACTTTCCGACTTAGCAAGTGTCGTTCTGTGCGTGCTGTGACTCGTGCGTACGAGTCCGAACTGTCACGTGCCAGGCACTAACACATATCACTTTCCGACTTAGCAAGTGTCGTTGTGTGCGTGCTGTGGCTCGTGCGTACGAGTCCGAACTGTCACGTGCCAGGCACTAACACGTATCACTTTCCGACTTAACAAGTGTCGTTGTGTGCGTGCTGTGGCTCGTGCGTACGAGTCCGAACTGTCACGTGCCAGGCACTAACACGTATCACTTTCCGACTTAACATGTGTCGTTGTGTGCGTGCTGTGGCTCGTGCGTACGAGTCCGAACTGTCACGTGCCAGGCACTAACACATATCACTTTCCGACTTAACAAGTGTCGTTGTGTGCGTGCTGTGGCTCGTGCGTACGAGTCCGAACTGTCACGTGCCAGTCACTAACACATATCACTTTCCGACTTAGCAAGTGTCGTTCTGTGCGTGCTGTGGCTCGTGCGTACGAGTCCGAACTGTCACGTGCCAGTCACTAACACGTATCACTTTCCGACTTAGCAAGTGTCGTTCTGTGCGTGCTGTGGCTCGTGCGTACGAGTCCGAACTGTCACGTGCCAGGCACTAACACGTATCACTTTCCGACTTAACAAGTGTCGTTGTGTGCGTGCTGTGGCTCGTGCGTACGAGTCCGAACTGTCACGTGCCAGTCACTAACACATACCACTTACCGACTTAGCAAGTGTCGTTGTATGCGTGCTGTGGCTCGTGCGTACGAGTCCGAACTGTCACGTGCCAGGCACTAACACATATCACTTTCCGACTTAACAAGTGTCGTTGTGTGCGTGCTGTGCCTCGTACGTACGAGTCCGAACTGTCACGTGCAAGGCGCTAACACATATCACTTTCCGACTTAAGTGCTGTGGCTCGTGCGTACGAGTCCGAACTGTCACGTGCCAGGCACTAACACATATCACTTTCCGACTTAACAAGTGTCGTTGTGTGCGTGCTGTGCCTCGTGCGTACGAGTCCGAACTGTCACGTGCAAGGCGCTAACACATATCACTTTCCGACTTAACAAGTGTCGTTGTGTGCGTGCTGTGGCTTGTGCGTACGAGTCCGAACGGTCACGTGCCAGGCACTAACGCATATCACTTTCCGACTTAGCAAGTGTCGTTGTGTGCGTGCTGTGGCTCGTGCGTACGAGTCCGAACTGTCACGTGCCAGTCACTAATACATATCACTTTCCGACTTAGCAAGTGTCGTTCTGTGCGTGCTGTGGCTCGTGCGTACGAGTCCGAACTGTCACGTGCCAGTCACTAACACATATCATTTTCCGACTTAGCAAGTGTCGTTGTGTGCGTGCTGTGGCTCGTGCGTACGAGTCACTTGCCAGACACGCACACTTATTAGCGGCGTACGGTACATTTCTTAGAAGATAGCTTACTATTCTGTTTTTACTGGACTACAACGGTTTGCTAAATTGTCCGTCATGGATGCTGGTACATAAGTTACCAGCATCTATCTATCCATACATTTAAGATGCCTTCAAGGCAAGAGTGAATAGGCTTTTAAGTCGGTGCGCTTCACCACCTTCAGCTGAATCACCGCTTACCATCAGGTGGGATAGTAGCCAAGCGCTGGCTTAGAGTGGTTAAAAAAAACACGTGTGCAGCTCACACGCGTTACAAGTGAAAGCTTCCGAAAAGGAGACTGAGATAATAGAAAACAGTGAATGCTGTATTTTATTTTATTCTTTTTTTTATAGGATAGAGTGACAAACGAGCACACAGTCCACCTGATGTTAAGTGGTTGCTGTGGCCCATAGACATTTACATCTATCCTCGGTTACGAATCTAAATGAAGATACGTTGTCACCCGTGAGGACTAACACGGAATGCCTCGTTTCCAGTAAAATGGGTCTCCGGTTCTCTACACTCACCATACGAAACATAGCAGCATTAAGCTACAATTTTATGCTGGTATTCTGTGAGAGCGTGATCATTCCTCGGTCGAGTCGACCCAATCGTGCTACAACTATACTACTAATATAACTGCAGCATGGTTCTACCACATATAAATTAATTCTCTCGAAGGCTAAATCCTAAAAATGTATGTTCCTCTGTTACTAGTGTCGCTTTTTCGTTTCATCATCGAGTTTCAAGTTTCAACAACTCTGAAGCAGGTTTCAATTTAAAAAAAAAAACAATATAGTTGCAGCGTGGTCCTACTGTTTCACTATAAACTGACTTGGTAAAGTTGGAGACGTGTGCCAGAGTAGAGCTGGCAACGTTGCGCTGGCTCTCCACGTACGCGACGGGACGGAACTGCAAGAAGCCGCCAGATCCGGTGAACCACAACCTCGGGCTGTTAATTTCGATTATCTGTAAAATGTCATATATGTATGTACATCAAAGTAATATGTAATAATAACCAGGTTGCATGTTTTCAGTAAAGCGGCGGGCCTCAAAGAAGACTAGCCATTTGTAGAAAATTCGGGCACCTGTGCACAGGTGCACCCTCTATTCCCTCACTCTCATAATCCGATCTCCGAAATCCGATCCGTCGAATCATCCGATGGGACGGTAGTCCGATACGACCGGAGAGAGATCAGGAGCAAGCCCAACGGCTTGACGTGCTTTTTTGATCAACACTCAACACTAAACCAACGAGGCAGTCTGTTGGGAAGTATCAAACGTCACATACGAAACAAATGTTAACTTACAATATTTGAGAGTTTTCGTAAAGCTAAGAATAAAAAGGTAACTTCCTTGTTGAGCTTACCTCGAACACGCCAGGTGTGTGTTCATCGTCTAAGCTCTTCCTGGTAACGCTATGCATGGTCAGGTTATTCAGGTCCTCGGAGACGAGGACCAAATGTACTGCGAAGCGCGACGAATTGAAGTGGCGCGAAGTGGTAAGATTCACCAGGCTGATGTCGACCAGAGTGTTGTTCGCGTTGTGGATAAGGTGGGGCAGGGTCCTCGCGTAATCCGTGAAGTTAACATACTCCAGCTGCACAATAAAAGATGGAAAGACGTTCAATAATAGTTTATGGCACGTTTAAATTAAAATATAATTCTCGGAGGAAAACTAAAAATAAATAACGGGTTGTGTAGGATCAAATATTAAAAAAAATATAGAATGGGTGTGATAAGCGAGCAGACAGTCCATCTAATAGTAAGTGGATGCTATGACCCATAGAATACTATGGATATGTTCCGAAACGTTTCAGTATACTGCCGAATACAAATGACGTCATCAATTGACACTATATTGTACTGGCGTGCCGCCGCCTTATTGTGTCGGATATCCGGCCATAATAAAACAATTGTTAATTGTGTGTGCGCTGAATGAAGCATGCCAGAATTTGTTTTATTTATTCATATACAAAAAATTATAGAATAATTGCTGGTATCTCCATTAGGAGGATATAATCATTTTTGGAGCACAAAATGACAAAATAATCACCAACACTTTTCCAATATGGCGTAAATGTATGACGTCATGTACAGTCCTATGTTTTATATGGCCTGCTGGCCGCAGGCCTCCTCTCATTTCTATGATGTTCACAAGCAAGTGGTAAGTCAGCACTTAACACTGCAATTAACAATTTCATTGGTGTCGGCGGAGATCGGACCCGGATTGCTCGTGTACTGTGAAATTTACAGCGGGCGCTTAGCACTTGAGCTACCACGGCGCTTATGCATATTGTCCTAAATATCTCTCTTTGTTGGCCTGAAACACTAACGTCATAGTATCTCTATTAATAAAAATCAATATTGTCGCATGTATGAAAGATCATCACCGGAGAACGACGGTCCAATCTTGATTAAAAAAAATTGTGTTTTTGAGTGGGTCCCCTAATGGTTTAGATTGACAATAGAACCCGGTAGGTGGTGCTGTTGTCGAGATGCAAAAATCACCCGTGCGAAGCCGTCGCGGATTGCTAGTATGACAAATTGGTTTTTTTTTATAGAAGAGGGGGCATATGAGCATACGGTTCACCTGATGTTAACTGACTACCGCCGCCCATGATCAACCGCAACACCAGGGGAATTGCAGGTGCGTTGCCGACCCTTTAGAAAGGAGTAAGCTCTTTTCTTGAAGTGCCCCTAAGTCGTATCGGTCCAGAAAAATCGTCGGTGGTAAACTATTTCACAGAGAGGTCGTACGCGAAATGTTTGAGATATACTCTTGAAAATCATATGACTATTTTAGGAAACACTGGCGTAACCTATAGTAGCATGTTCATATAACACGCTTTCACAAAATACCTAAAAAATAAAAAGTTCAAAACCATTTGTAAAAGTGCATCAATGTTTATCTCTGTCACCTCACTGGGGTCTCTATTGTTTACACAAGTAATCGGTTTGCTCCAGTGCACTTTCATATCACACGTCGGTAATCTGTGTTCTTAATGCTTGTAAATTAATATTTATATAATTACTCAACCGTTTTCCGATAGCAAACATGACAAATTACTTCGCATAATTTTTATTCATCTTTATTAAGGCAATGACAAAGGTAGAAAAACATGCGTTCTAAAATAATATAAATCGGAATTATAAATCAATAAAAATGGACGTTAAAAGTCTCTGTGCAGTTGTTTGAAAAGTTCAAATACGGGCATGTATTTATAAGGATCCGAATATACAGATTTTTGTGTTAGAATCAAAACCGAAATAGAAACTCGTGATCATTAGAAATCTTTTTTTTTTTTTTTGTAGAATAAAGGTTATATATGTGATATATATAATAAAGGTTATATATATCACACAGTTCACCTGATGCTAAATGGATGCTAAGGCCCTATAGATATCTACATCTGTCTTAGATTAAGGGTGAATGCAGATGCGTTGCCACCACTGAAAACTAAAATGGACTGCTTCGTTACTGGCAGAAAGGGTGTCTGGTTCTCTACACTCACCATACGAAACCAGAATGAAGCTGCTATTGCACGCTGGTATTCTGTGAGAGCGTGGTCCTGTCCCGGTATCAAAATGGTAAACAGTTGGAAATTAGGTAAAACAATATTTTCATATATACTAAAATAATCCTATACTTTTATACAAACAAACTTTATAATATAAACATTACGTGTCATTTGGCTGCGATGAACTTCGAAAATTTTACAGATTTTAATGAAATTTTGTAAATGAAATTGTGTATTGCTTGCTCCAACTTGAAAGATAGGATAGTTTTAATCCCGATAAGTGACCCTCAATATTTTTATTGCCAATTTAAAAGACAAAGGCCAGACGTCCTTTATTTTAAAGGAATCTATTTTCATAACTGCCGTCTAGTGTATGCCATGGATGGAATTCACTCGGAGCACTTCCACGAGTTCCGCAAGCTCTGCTACACTGCCTACCTCCACTTGTGCAGGTAACACTTGTCTAGGATTGCCAGACGTCCTTTATTTTAAAGGAATTTATTTTCATAACTGTCGTCTAGTGTATGCCATGGATGGAATTCACTCGGAGCACTTCCACGAGTTCCGCAATCTCAGCTGCACTGCCTTCCTCTACTTGTGCAGGTAACGCTTGTCTAGGACTGCCAGACGTCCTTTATTTTAAAGGAATTTATTTTCATAACTGCCGTTAGTGTATGCCATGGGTGGAATTCACTCGGAGCACTTCCACGAGTTCCGCAAGCTCTGCTACACTGCCTTCCTCCACTTGGGCAGGTAACACTTGCCTAGGATTGCCAGACGTCCTTTATTTTAAAGGAATCTATTTTCATAACTGCCGTCTAGTGTATGCCAAGGGTGGAATTCACTAGGAGCACTTCCACGAGTTCCGCAAGCTCTGCTACACTGCCTTCCTCCACTTGCGCAGGTAACACTTGCCTAGGATGGCCCGACGTCCTTTATTTTAAAGGAATCTATTATCATAACTGCCGTCTAGTGTATGCCATGGGTGGAATTCACTCGGAGCACTTCCACAAGTTCCGCAAGCTCTGCTACACTGCCTTCCTTCACTTGCGCAGGTAACACTTACCTAGGACTGCCAGACGTCCTTTATTTTAAAGGAATCTATTTTCATAACTGCCGTCTAGTGTATGCCATGGGTGGAATTCACTCGGAGCACTTCCACGAGTTCCGCAAGCTCTGCTACACTGCCTTCCTTCACTTGCGCAGGTAACACTTACCTAGGACTGCCAGACGTCCTTTATTTTAAAGGAATCTATTTTCATAACTGCCGTCTAGTGTATGCCATGGATGGAATTCACTCGGAGCACTTCCACGAGTTCCGCAATCTCTGCTGCACTGCCTTCCTCCACTTGCGCAGGTAACGCTTGTCTAGGATTGCCAGACGTCTTTTATTTTAAAGGAATTTATTTTCATAACTGCCGTTAGTGTATGCCATGGGTGGAATTCACTCGGAGCACTTCCACGAGTTCCGCAAGCTATGCTACACTGCCTTCCTCCACTTGGGCAGGTAACACTTGCCTAGGATTGCCAGACGTCCTTTATTTTAAAGGAATCTATTTTCATAACTGCCGTCTAGTGTATGCCAAGGGTGGAATTCACTCGGAGCACTTCCACGAGTTCCGCAAGCTCTGCTACACTGCCTTCCTCCACTTGCGCAGGTAACACTTGCCTAGGATGGCCCGACGTCCTTTATTTTAAAGGAATCTATTATCATAACTGCCGTCTAGTGTATGCCAAGGGTGGAATTCACTCGGAGCACTTCCACGAGTTCCGCAAGCTCTGCTGCACTGCCTACCTTCACTTGCGCAGGTAACACTTGTCTAGGACTGCCAGACGTCCTTTATTTTAAAGGAATCTATTTTCATAACTGCCGTCTAGTGTATGCCATGGGTGGAATTCACTCGGAGCACTTCCACGAGTTCCGCAAGCTCTGCTACACTGCCTTCCTCCACTTGCGCAGGTAACGCTTGCCTAGGATTGCCAGACGTCCTTTATTTTAAAGGACTTTCTTCAGACCCAAAAATTGATCATATCCTTAAATTTGAAATCTTTAATTTAATAGAGGACAAAGTGCTGCAACCTACTAGCTTTGGACCCATTAGAGTTCTGCTAAGTAACTTTTTAGCGATCCTCATTTTTGGGAAAATTTTTAGATTTCGCTACAGAGATCGCCTTCTCAATAGCTCAATAGTTAGAGCGTGGGTCTACTACGGCAGAGGGCGCCAGTACGAGCAGTCGAAACGACTCTAAAAAATTTGGATGATATTTGGTATTTAAATTCCTATAGTCTAGATTTTCTAACTGCGTTAAAAATCTTTATTTTTTTAACGATGTGCAAATCTCAGTCGCCCTGATACTGTTTTAATATAAAATTTAAAATTGGTGACGGACAAAATCACACCAAAACTTGTTTCGTGCGGAAATATTCTCACAGAATACCAACCGGAGAGTCGTTTTTACTGGATACGAACCAATTCATTTAATTCATCAAATGTGAACGCATTTGCATTTTAATTTGTAATCGAGGATAAATGTAGATGTTTATATGGGTCACAGTATCCACTTACCTTAAACAGTCGTCTAACTAAGGTTCTAATGAGACTGAACAGGCCACAGATCAGGATAACAACAAGTGCTATCACAGGACATGGCTCTTTTAACAAAAATTTGTTTACCATAGGTGTTACTGATAGCCCCCTGTGCAGAGCATGCATGGGAGAGGAAGAATCGGCGGCTCACGTGTTGCTGACATGTCCAGAAGTCGCTTCATACAGGGCTAAACATCTCGGTACGCCGGGATCGCTCCCTGAAGTTGCTTGCAACACCAAAGGACTGTTGAACTTCTTCGGGGAGATATTATGGCTTGAATAATCACATAATTCCTGCCCACACGCAAAATACGCGCTTAGACGTGGAGTTGCGGAAAACAGCCTGTCGTAAACTAAACTAATCCAGTTACCATTAGGTGGAATGTTCGCTCATTTGATCAAAAAAAAGCCCAATAGCCAACTGGTTATCCACTATCAACTTTTTTCAAGATCACTGACCTTCATTTCGACAGTGCCTCTTCCCTCCTTGTCGCGCAGAGTTCCACGCAACCTCACCATGACCTTCTTACTGGTGAGCACACTCTCTTTCAACTCCCACGACACATTCTTCAGCGACTGTATACGATACGGACGGTTCACGTCGAAGGCCCCTATGTCCTCCAGGTCGTTGTATTCGTAAATCTGTAAAATTGTCTACAGGTAATAATGGGCTTCACTCATTGTATGAAGAATTTATCGTTATTAATAATAATAAGGGCTTTCTGAGTACTTGCACACACAGAAACTAGTAGCCAAGATTCTACACCAGTAGCTCGCCATGAAATACGGTCGAGTGGATTGGAAACTGCCTTGTTATAAGTACTCTACTGGGACCTGGCCATCATCACAGACAGGACTTTTCTTGCGAATAAGGCCAATATTGTAATCATGGACCGGGCACAGTCAAGGATATTTTGGTCGACATTACCATTCCGTATGACGAGAACATAGTGAAAGCCGAAACAATAAGCAAACAAAATATTTGGACCTGACTCACGAGTTGATCGACATGTGCGGTGGTCTGCCGACCGAAATTATTCCTGTAATCATTTCTGCCAACGGACTAATTTCGGTCAGCTTCTCTGGTCATCTGAGGCGATCGGCACTCTGTTACGGACCGATCTGGGCTCAAATGCAGAAGGCAGTACTCCTCTATATAGCCTTCGTCCGGAAGTTTCTTTTCATTTCCCACTAACCCTCGGCCGTTTATCTCCTCTGACAAGAGCATCAGATGCATGTTGGGTTTTTATTTATTTATGCATTATTTTGATTTGAATTTGAAACTCTTAATATGTATACAATTAATTTATTAAAATTTTGTTAAAAAATGATGATTAAAATGATTAAAAATGATGTACCTAAATACTACAAGAGACAATATAAGAGATTAATTATGTTAAATTTGTAAAGACGTGAGGTGACGTGTACATGAAAGAAATATGTAGGCAATAAATAGCTAAAATACTATAGTGTAAAAAGAAAAATAAATACTGGTTAAACAAATGTAAAAATAAAAAATAAATGAATAAAACTAAATTTTACGGATTCTATCGCGTTTATTTAACTGATTTTCCTTTTTTTTTTAATTCCCGACGTATCGGGTGCCTTACAGCACCCATGGTCACGGGGGGGTACTGAGATGTGTAATAAAATACGTAAAAGTTAGTTTTATTCAATGTGAAGTGTTCGCGTAAATTTAAGAAATCAAAAATAAATGAAGTTAAATATTGAAGTGATAATAATAAGTAGGAAAAATAAGAAAAAAGTACCATGTATTATTACATGTCCGGACTAGATGAATTATCGATACTACTAAGGATACGAATAAATAATATTGTTAATGTTTGTGAAAGTAAAACATAATATTATGCCTGATTATATCGATTATACTAAACTGTGACTACGCGTTTTCACATGCTAGAGGGTTTGACCAAACGCCGTCCTAAATGTAGATATTATGCTTTAGATTATAGTTTTTATTTGGATAATTAATTTCGTTTAGAATAATTTTAAGGATTGTTATAAAAAATATAGCACTATTTTATCAGTGGGAGGTGTAGTGTAGCCCGCACGACAATATATATAAGAGTAAAGTTTATAATAGAGAATAAGAGTAGTATAATTAAAGATAGCAAGGACAACACGCCTCTTCTCATTGACACCCTTTCTAAATTACAATTGTTTCCATATATATTAAGGTTTTAAAATATGGCTCTAAAATATATCACAGAGGTATGTACCTCACTTGTCAATGTGCATATCAAACGTTACGACAATTCTTCACGCAAGGCAAAAGAATTAAAGGATTTTCATTTAGTTGGTGTTGTAAAGGGCAACAATAGAAAATACTACAAAATATCTTTGCCTCCCGACAGATGGCGGTATATTAACTGTCCCGTATTTGGCAGATTTTGAAACCCATACTGGTGATGAGAAGTGTCAAACTCGTGATACACTATAATATACATACATATACATTATAGGTACTACTGCAATTGCTAACCCACATGACCCTCCTCTTGGTAACTGTGCGTATGCTATCGTATTGCGTTTGCACTGTCAAACCAGGGTTGACTGGCAGAGAATGCCATAAGGCATTAAGTCCGTGCTTTATATCCCTTAGTATATAAGGTGTATAATAAAGATTAAATAAATAAAATGATAAAATTTTTAGGAACATGTTTAACCCTTCAATCTCTTAGCGGTCGAAATCGCCGCGATTTCGACTTTCGATTTCGACTATACTATTCGACATAACTATTCCGTCAAAATTCAAGCGGTCGGATTCGACCGCGCACACCCACAGCACTTTAAACCATTAAAACTTATATAAATTATTAAATAAATATTAAAACTTATAAATAATATTAAAAAAATTAAAACTTATATAGTAAATTTGGTGCATGTAATATGTTTATCAATAAAGATTATTATTATTATTATTATTATTATTTAGAGACTACTTTTCTACGAAGAAGTTTGGCATTATAGAATCAATATAAAATGTTCTATCCTCTAGTGCAATAAAAAAAAACAGTTATCCTATGGATATTTATTATTTATTTATAATCTACGTTCATTACGTACGCCATTTTCGGGTGAATGTTTTTGTGTTGATTTTTGGCTTTTTCTATTGTTTTATTATAAAATTGTAATGAAAGTTTTTGTGTGAATATAATTTATCTTTTTACGTAAATAATTTCGAGTAATATATATTGAAATAATTGCGATTTTCACGCTGCCGACATTCGCTTGGTATGTTTTGTTTTTGTTATCAAAATACAATAGTTTTTTGTAATGAAGTAAAACCTGACTTTTATATAGAGAATTTTGTATAGATTTTATAATGCCAAACTTCTTCATAGAAAAGTAGTCTCTAAATATATGTTTTAATGGTTTTAAGTGCTGTGGGTGGGTGCCGTTGCATGCGACCGCTCGGGATTTACCGGGCGCATGCGACTGCATGATATTTTTTGTGGGGATTGAAGGGTTAACAACAAGTTTTGAAACCTATAGATTTACAAGCGTTGAGACACTCCTGCTTTTGCCGTGACGCAATTTTGCAGGAACGACCAAACCAACGCTAGGATCTGCCGCAGTTAGGCACTACAGATGACTGGATGAAAAGTTCCATTTCCCCTGAAAGCACGACATCGGCGACAGACTTGGCAACGACGTTAGGATCATCCAACGAGAAGCAAATGCACCCCTATGTATAGGAAGCAAAAAACCCTGCATCCACTCCCAATCCGCTGACCTACAGTGCCACACGACGTCAGTCAACAAATCGCACCTGCAATGAGCATGTGATGGACACCATATGGATCAGGCAGTAATCCGAAGAGCCAAGACATCAATGGAGACCTGATAGCTGTCCAAATGAGAGGTGAACAGAAGGTCCAACAGGGATGGTGCATGATTCTCCACATCTGCTATCCGCGTGGGCTAAGTGACCAGTTATGTCAGACCATATAAGGCGGTCGTAAACAGATCTCATTCATGTTATATTTCATAATATCCAGGCAATGCATGTTTGATAACAGTGATACTGAAATATTCACCACATGCTTAGTGAAAAAGTATGATATCATGGAAGCCTACATATCTGCAAAATTAAAAATATTTTATCTTTCCTGCTTCATAAACCTTTTTAAAAAAAGGTGATTTTAATGATTTATAAATTAAATTGGGTTGAGTGGTGGCCCATTTGAAGATTAAAATGAAATAAGCATGTTGTTCAAAGTTCAAAACATATTTCAAAGACATGTTAAGACCACCAACACGAGTTGGGCATATATACTTTACTTTTATTTTAGTTTTACTTTTACTTTTTTTTAAAAAGGGGCAGCAGAAGATAAGTGCAATATATTTATTAATTTTAAATTACAATAAAAGTAAGGATAATTGAGAAGTAAAGGAATTTATGAAATTGAAAGGAGATCTTACAAATTAAATATATCTCTCATCATTCATCATATAAAAAATTCTAGTCTGAAATTGAGTTTCAAATGAGTAATCAATATGTTATCACTTTAATAAACCTAATTGGTTTACAATATTTCATTTTAATGCATTATTAGTAAGAACTATTTTACTTTGAAACAATATATCTAGGGCATGGAGTCATACTTTAATGTAAACTAATACACTATACTCTGTATACAGGGGACCATCTGTTTTCTTTAACATAATATTTTGTTTAATGTTACAATTGATTTTTAGTAATATATATATATATTTTTTTTTTTTATTATATATATATGTATATGTGTTTGTTCTATGATTGTTTGTTAATATAGTTACTTTCATATAAACATTAACCGCATTACAGTCCATCACAAAAGTCCTCAGATGAACAAGGACAATACTTTGCAACAATCTTTGAACAATTGTCACAAAGCAATACAACATCTAATGGCTAATTCGAAAATGCTACTCAATTTTAAGATAAGAAGTTAAGAAGTCTTATGGTGTAACAGTCACTTTGACCTAGTGATGTTATACAGCACGAAACTTAACAGCATCTTAAAATTGAGCAACATTTAAGTATTAGGGTATAAGACAGTAATCAAATAAGGTAAAACTATGTCATCAGGAATATAATTAGGTCATCCAAAATACAAAATCATTTAACTCACCTTATCAATAGCTGTAGCATAACTGTAATGTGGTTTTTCAAGCATTGAAAAGTTCATTGGCTTTGAACCACTCCAATTAATATCAATAGATGAGTTGCCTGACCCTACTGCCAAAATCATTGTGGGTATACCTTGAGTGAAATCCCATATTTGATGTATGGTATCTACCAGCCCTTCTGCCTTGACATAAATTAAGGTAGAATTCAAACCACAGTCCTTACATCCAGGATTGAGTTTTGAAGTGATCTAAAAACAAATTATGTTAAATTGTTAGGGATGACATACAAATTTTAATACACAATATTAATAACATGAAATTATATAAAGATTACAATGCAGCAGTGAAGGAAAACATTGTGAGGAAACCTGCATGTCTGAGATATAAGAAAATATAGATTTCAAAGGTGTGAAGTTCGCTAACAAGCATTGGGGCAGGGCAGCAGACATTTCCTTGCCTCAAAACTCTCTCAGAAATGAGAGGAGGCCTGTGTTAAGGTGTGCTTACACGAGGGCAATAATTGCTCGGCGACACGAATGGACCGATCTGGAGCAATTTCAAAGCAATGGAGCAAATTGCGGCAATTGTTTCGGCGATATTGCTTCTAATTGCTCCAGATATTTCATATCGCTCAATGTCGCAGATACGAATTGACGAATATCCAATGGGCTTGGAAATTCCTAGCAATTTTTGTATATATCTCATTTGCACTTTTTTTGTTTTGCGGCTTGCCTTTTTGGGGTGCGCGCGCAAAATTATTTCAAATTTTATTTATTCAAAAGTAATTCAAAGTCTGTTCATGACATTCTAGTAAAGTTTTTGAATAATATATCATCTAATTCTTTACACAATGAAAATTGCGGCCTCTTTGCTAAAAATGATCGCACCCATATACGGCTATTCCTTCTCTTTCTTTTTTGTTTTTGATTAATAATAATAAAAGCGCTACAAGCCGCCGCAGCAAGAACAATGTCATCCATAGCGAGCGAATACTGAAATGCTCGTGTAGGACAGTATTGCCTAGTTGATGAAGTTGCGCCATATCGCTCAATATTGTATTGCGCAGTATTGATGCTTGTTGCCGTTGCCGTAAATTGCTTGAAGTAGTCGTGACGTCATAGTTGACGAGTATTGACTGGAATTGAGCAATTTTAGTTGTCCGTGTAAGCGCACCTTTAGTAGTGGGACATATCATGTGACTTTATTTAGAGAATACAAATATAAAATAAAAGAAATTAAGGGGTTTCAGAAAGTAATTATTTACAATATATGTAACTTCATAACTTGTATTTTGTCTATTAAATATCAAATTCTAATAATAAATTAAATATAAATATATATATAAATTAAAATAATATTTTCTTAAAAAAGTTTAAAGTTACAGTCTATATACATCCCACTTCTGAGCACAAGCCTCCTCTCATTTCTGAGAGGGTTTTAGGGCAAGGAAGTGCCCGCCATGCTGCCTCAATGCATGTTACTGAACTTCACATCTTCAAAATATTTTTTTTTCTGATTTCTCAGACATACAGGTTTCTTCATTAGGTTTTCCTTCACAGCCGAACATGTGGTAAATCAGCACTAAAAATTGCATTCAACAAAGTCATTGGCAAAGGCGGGGATCGAACCCGGGTTGCTTGTGTACAGTGAAATTTACAATTAGCGCTAACCATCTGAGCTACCACGGCTCCAATAATTTTCTTGCCAATAAATATTTTTTTATCCTCTCAGAAACAGGAACAAAAACTTTTTTATTCAATATGGATTATAAATAATACTTATTGAAAGTCACTTTTTTTTATTTACCACTGGTTCGCAAAAAATACCTCTATCCTGGGAAGAACCAGCAAAAAACCCAGCAGGACTATTTTTTTAAAAATAACAAGTTACAATCATGTATGTTACAATTAACAACACAAAACAAATTAGAAATAGCTTGGTAGCGATCACCCTTCCCAGGGGTTGTCATCCATAAATTTCTTAATATAATAATAACCCTTTTTATCCTCTCAACTGTCTTCCAAACGGTCACTTTGGTGATACTGTCCAATTTATCTGGGATTGTCAGTAAAATGGCAATATCTTTGCCCAAATGAATTATGAATCGGTGGACACTATAAATAATATGTTGTTGAATTATTGTTAAGTGAACGGTAATAGAATATGTGTAAATGTGTACACGTTCACCTTTTTTTATATTTTCTAAATTCCGTGGTTATTAAAAAAAAAAATTTTTTAACGTAATTTTGAGATTTCGCTACATAATTTGGTGAAATTTGGAGCGCGTTGCATTTGAAATCGAGGAAAGTTCCAGGGATGGCTTGCAGGGTCAACCAATTTTTTTATTATTTTGATTTTTCAGTAGGATACTGCTGCCCAACTTGTTTCTGTTTCTCTCTGTCACTTTTTAAAACACCCACAAGATACAGGATAGTGAGATGGGTGTTTTAACTTCAGTAATAATAGGTTTTGACATAGGTAATATTACCATTTTTTAAATTGGTAAAGATTTAGTATCAAGTCACCTTAATAAGGGGTGTCAGGCGGGGAAAAAGGGGCTGCCGCCTTTTCCTCCCGCCAGAGGTGTGTAGTGTTTTTTATATTAAATGTTAGATTGAAATTTTTAATAAATGATATCTGAGAAAAATCACCCTAATAGGGCAGCGGTAGGTATGTAGTAGGTATTAGGTTGGTGTGTCCCCTCTCCGCGTGAATTGTGGTGCCTGTTTCTATGAACGTAGAACTAAGGCACCATTTTTTTTTACACACGTAAAAAAGAGTAATTTAAATTATTTTTTTAATTTAAAAATAAATTTTGTTTTTTAAAATGTTATTATTTTAAAACATTCAATTTTAGGTATTAATTAGATAATTAGTAATTAATGAAACTTTTGGAAAATGATTTTAAACATTTCGACGCAGTTAAAATTGCATGGGGGTGCTTGAGATAAGCCCCCTTGACTCCCCACAGCGACAGACTTTTTAAGTTCAGGCGACTTGATACTAAACCCAAAATTATGCAAATATAAAATATCTGACTTATATTCGAAAAATTAAATGCTCAAAATTGATGTCAATTCAAATACTCGTGTCAATTACCTCTGAGACAAATCATTTAATATTACAGAAAACATTGCATTTCAATGTTGGTGTCACCAATAATGTCTTTGTCGAGTGGTTCTGTTTCTTCATAGTTATTAAAAACGCATACACATGAACATATTGAAAAAAAAAAACTCACCGTTCTATGTTGTCCATAAGCAGTACTTTGCAATAAAAATACAATTAAAAAAATTATATACACTTTTATCGTTGAAGGAAACATTTTCTCACAACACTTTCTGTCGATAAACAATAAAAAGAGTTCACAAGTCAATAAACATGTCACAAATTACTGATAAAACGATAAACGAACAGCACGTGCGGTAGACTAGAGTCCCAGACAAAGATACTCTATTGATCACAGAACAACATAGGTTATTGATTTCATGTACACATTAAGAATTTATACATTTATTGGTAAATATTTACTTATTTCCTGTATAACTCTATCAGTGAGTACCTATATAATTATTTTATTGCGTGTGATACGTCATTTTATGAAATCTAAGAAAATTGCAATCAGTAACAAAAACAATCATAATTTTGTTTTGTACTTTTTTATTTATTTAACTGGCTTTGTAGCTCTGGGTTCTAGCCCTTCTGAGCCTATCATTTCTTTCGGAATCTTCATGTTTATATTCTTTTTCTCCACAATATGCTGATGCGTCACATTGCGAAGCCCTTGGGCGATTTTGATGACAGCTCAACCTAGCGGACAGTTGATGACGACAGCCACTCAAGTTCATAAGGCGCCTAAGCGATCAAAATAAGTTGAGGTTTATATTAGGGATGGGCCGAATATGGATTTCACCGAATACGAATATTCGGATGAAAGTTCGGTAAAATTTTTACCGAACCGAATATTCGGCCGAACATTATTCGGCATGATTACCTCGGTACCTGACCAATTTATGTCGAAACTTGTTACCGTAAAGCGGGTGGGATTAGCGTAGGAGCCTTCCCCTCGCTCCCCCGCCAAACCTGACATATTATTGCATCATCTAATACTGAGCAAATTGCCGGCAAATGCTTACGGTTTGACTATTTATGTGAGAAAAAAAGTATTTCGTTGTGTTATTCTTAGTGAAAATTGATTATTATATAATATACACCGTAAGATATAGAAAGTGTACAAGTAATGAATTGTATAGTTGCCTATCTTTACTCTTTGAGTCCGGTCTGAAAGGTAGCTACGGAAAAATCAAGTTGAGAACCCCTGATACCTATATTTTCTAGTTTTAATAATAATAATAATAGCAAATGTTAGTTTGTCCCAGCCGGATATAATGCAAAAACTGACGGAGCGCATAGACGACCTGAAGCAGAGAATCGCTGCTTGGGGAAAGCGGATTCGGCGATATACCGAGAGGTCGACACGGTTCAACCAGAATCGTCTCTTCCAGAGTGATCAGAAGAGGCTCTATAAATCATTTGAGCGACCAATGGTAAGTGGAACGGGCTCAGTACCGAATCAGGCCGACACGGTCGCATTCTGGCGCAGCCTGTGGTCAGAGCCCGTAAACCACAACGAGGGCCCTTGGACGGAAGTTGTGGCGAGTCAGTGTGCGGGTATTACGCCCGTGGATCCCGTCATCATAACGCCGGATGACGTAGCTGAGGCGGTCCGTAGGGCCCCGAACTGGAAAAGTCCGAAAGGCTTGACGGGCTGCATCACTACTGGCTGAAGGGGTTCATGGTGTGTCATGCTGTGCTCGCTCAACAGTTTCAAGAGGCTCTCAACCAGAAATCGCTCCCGAGCCCCTTCACTACTGGGATCACTCATTTGGTTTCTAAAGATCAGGGTGCCACAGACCCGAGCAAATACCACCCCATCACGTGTCTACCGATCATATAAAAGTAACTAACATCCATTTTGAGCGCAAGAATCACTCGTCACCTTGACTCAAATCAGGTGATGTCGCGGGCTCAAAATGGATGTCGGGGCGGCGGTCGTGGAACCAAGGAACCACTCCTCATTGACGCGGTCATTGGCAAAATGGCGAAACGCAATCGTCGGAACTTCTCCGCCGCCTGGATATATTTCAGAAAGGTATTTGACTCGGTGCCCCATACATGGCTAAAGGAGGGTCCTCGAGCTGTACAAGATTGACTGTACAGTTCGAGACTTCCTCGAGCAGTGTATGGGGCAGTGGAGTACGATCGTCTGTCATCTAGGCGAGCGGATGACGGCTGCGGAAAGCCGCATAAGGATAAGAAGGGGTATATTCCAGGGCGTCTGTCTGAGTCCAATCTGGTTCTGCCTTTCTTTGAACCCTCTCAGTACTTTACTGGAGGGCTCCGGGAGGGGATTTCAGCTTCGGAAAGGAGGTACACAAGTGACCCACCTTTTCTATATGGATGACCTCAAATTATTTTATTCTCAAATTATTATATTAAAGAATTGCTAAACATCACTTGTGAATTTAGCAATTCTATTAGAATGGAGCTGGGGAAGGATAAGTGTGCGGTCCTCCATATTGAAAGGGGAAGGGTTGCTAAATCTGCGGGCATAGACTTATCTATGCCCGTCAACTTAAGGACCCTTTCCGAGGCTGAAACATACCGATACCTGGGTATGTCACAGAACATCGGTATCGATTAGGCTGGTATGAAACAGTAAGTTTGCGACATGTTTTATGCACGCTTGACCAAAGTGCTTAACAGCTTTTTGTCCGGTGTGAATAAGACACACGCATATAACGGCTAGGTCATGCCTGTCCTCATGTAAATACCTTTGGCATACTCAGGTGGAGTCAGACTGAACTAAACACCCTGGATAGAAAAGTCCGCTCTACAATGACGTCCCATAGGATGCATCATCCGAGATCGTCGGTAATGAGGCTGTACTTGCCGCGAAAGCATGGTGGGTGGCTTCCTGAGCGCGCTCACCATGCATAAGACTTACCCCTCTATCCTTAGCCAACGAGCAATGGCAGGACCCGGCAGTACAGAGCATTTCCGACCGGGAGACCGTATGGAAGGAGAAGGAACTCCACGGGAGGTACTACAGGGCTCTACATGAGCCCCACGTAGATACAGCCGCCTCCCTCAACTGGCTACGTTTCGGTGACCTCTTCGGGGAAATTTTCTGAGGATTTTATCTGTGCAATACAGGATCAGGTTATTAAGACCAACAACTATCGGAGATACATCCTAAAGGATGGCACTGTCGACATCTGTCGAGCTTGTCGCCATCCCGAGGAGTCACTTAGGCATGTCATCTCCGGTTGTTCGGCGCTTTCTAACTCTGAGTACTTGCACAGGCACAACCTAGTAGCCAGAATTCTACAGCAGGAGTTCGCTCTGAAATACAGTCTCGTGGACCGGAAATTGCCGTATTACAAGTACTTGTCGGAAGCCGTGCTCGAAAATGACTTTGCCAGGCTCTACTGGGACCGGGCCATCATCACGGACAGGACTATTCTTGCAAATAAGCCTGATATTGTGCTGATGGACCGGGCACAGTCAGGGATATTTTTGGTCGACATTACCATTCCGTAAGACGAGAACCTCGTGAAAGCCGAAACAGATAAACGAACAAAATATCTGGACTTGGCTCACGAGGTGACCGACATGTGGGGTGGTATGCCGGCCGAAATTATTCCTGTAGTCGTCTCTGCGAATGGGCTAATCCCAGTCAGCCTCTCGGGTTATCTGAGGCGACTGGGACTCCGTGACGGACCGCTCCGGGCTCAAATGCAGAAGGCAGTGCTCCTCGATACCGCCCGAATCCTCCTACCGTTTGGTCTCCTCTGCCGAGGGCTTCCATCTGGTTGGGCTTTTATTTATTCATGTATTTTTGTATTTATTTTATTTTAATTATATTTATGTATATTTATCTTTTCATTTTTATAGAACCCAACCAGATGAGAAAACTATATAGATACTCCACAATAATAATAATTTATTTTTCTCTCCACATTAAATTAACAATATCGAATTTTGACAAAAAAGGCACAAATTAATGTGAAAGACTGATGCCTAAACTAGGCGACGAACCTGTATTTCAGGTCATCAGGTCTCCCTCCCAGTTAAACAAATACAAAAGTATGTTATCTTGGAATACATATTTTAACAATAATGATACGTTATAATCCATTTGCGCGTATATACATAATTTGACAATAATGATACGCGTTTTTTTTGTGGTGCGTGCGTGCGTGCGTGCGCGCGTGCGTGTGGTGTGTGTGTGTGTGTGTGTGTGTGTGTGTGTGTGTGTGTGTGCGCGCGTGTGCTGTGTGAATGCGAAAATTACAACATTTACACATGTGATGTAAAAAGATCTTCCGTATATTTATAGTCCGTCTTCAGTAACCATTCATGGATACATTTTTTCTTTTATTTTAGGTAGGACGTGCATATTAAGTTCCTTGTTAACTTTATTATACAGGTATCCGCCAAGATAGCAAAAAAATCTCCTGGAAAAGTAGGTACAATGGCCATAATGAGAAGTACACACTCGCTCTTTGCGTCCCGTGTGCTGTGTATTTTTTGGTCATATTTTAATTGAGCATGTTTTTTTAGTACTGTGTATATAATAAACAGTTGCCGGACTGTAAGAACTTTGGAAATTTTATAAAGTTGACTGGTTGGAAATTTAAATGGAAGAGAGTTACTTACTTTTAAGATTAACCTTTGTGATCTTTCGAGGGACAGAAGAGATGATTTGGTAGCCCCACCCCAGCACGTAATACAATATATTATTAAAGATTGGCATAGAGCAAAATAGACAGATTTAATAGTGTTAGAATCTGCTACGCAACTGAGTTTTTTGAAGATATATGTTAATTTCCTTACACCTTATATGTTAATTTCCTAAATTGCTTACGTGGTAGAGCCATGCTGCAGTTATATTAGTAGTATAGTTGTAGCACGAATGGGTCGGCTCGACCGGGGAAGGACCACGCTCTCACAGAATACCAGCGTGAAATAGTAGCTTAATGCTGCTGTATTTCGTATGGTGAGTGTAGAGAACCGGAGACCCTTTTTACTGGAAATGAGGCATTCCATCTCAGTCCTCACGGGTGACAACGCATCTGCATTTTGATTTGTAATGGAAGATAGATGTAGATGTCTATGGGCCGCAGCAACCACTTACCATCAGGTGGACTGTGTGCTCGTTTGTCAGCCTATTCTATAAAAAAAAATTCCGTATCCTATTTGAAGGTGAATAAATATGATCATGATAAGCTAACTTAGCTTATCATCCAACAAAATGCCAAG